TATTATGCTATTTCTAGCATATGTTTATTTTCTGCATGCATGAATTGCTTGATTTCCTAGGCTAGGTGCTTTCCTATATTTGATTATAGTTATAGCACCGAGCTAGGTTGCGTGCACCGAATTCTGGCTTTTCGGTCGCCACCGAATTGCCTTCTACCGAATTCGGGAAGGATCTGTTCGGGACGCTTCGCGACCCGCGGAACCTTCGCGTAACACCTGGTTACGGGGCCTTGTGTCGAGCCTATATATAGCCTCGTGTTGTACCCAGGTGATCATTCAATTCAATTACAATTCTCTTTTCTGAGCTCGATCCTAGATCCTCACAACCTCTGTCAGAGTGCAGACGCAGGACAGGAAAGTCCGACTCGAACCCCTCGCGGAGCTGGAGACGAACAGCGCGGATCCAAGGGATCAACACAACAGGGACATCCCCCTTGCGCTGCAAGGGGAAGACCGTGGTGTAACGCGTGTAGTCGTCGACTACCAGCAGGAAGTACCGCTCGTGGCTGTGTCCACGGACGCGGGCTGGGCCCCACACGTCCACGTGGAGAGTCTGCTGTGGAGCCTCTGTGGGAGGGAACAAGGAGGAGTGAGGAGCGGCGCGCTGCCGCCCCTCGACGTAAGGAATGCAGGGTGGCGCAGGCGAGGGAGGGAGGGAGGGAAGAGACCTGGGAAGACAAGAGACCAGTAGGCGAGAGTGCGTGCCACGAAGGCGAGGCAAGGAGGGGTGACCAAGGCGGTGGTGCCAAAGGAGAGTCTGGTGCGACACGCGGCGACACTCACACTGGGTAGCTACCTGAGCGGACGCGTACAACTGCGGAGACAAAGGGGTGTAGCGCGACGCGGTGGTGAGGGTGTACAGACTTGACCCAGGCGCACGTGTGAACGTGGCCAGGTGGTGGCCAGTCCGAGAGCACGTGCAGATCGCCACACGCTGTTCTCCAGGAGTAAAGGTGTCACCACGTTCGTAGACAACGAGGGGAGGTGGAGACCAGACAGCTCACGAGACAGGACCGCCGGACACGGAAGCACAGTGGTGGACCGTGCTAGCACTGGGCCCCCATAGGGGTCAGCCAGTGAGACAGGGACAGGGAGGGGAGTGACTGTGGTGCTGTCGCGAAAGAAACAGCGGGAAGCACCAGAGTCAAGTGTAAAGGTGTGCAAGGCCTGAGCGGACGCAGTACCAGGGAGAACAGACTCACTAGCACCTAGGGCTGCAGGCTCCTTACATGGGGCTATACTTAGGTCAGGCGGTACACACAAGTAGCAGTCACCCTCAGCACTAACAGTCAATGCATACATGGTAGCAAGAATTGCATCATACTCAAGATCAAAGATAGGAACATCACGCCTAAGCAGATCTGCCCAAGGGGGGAACTCAGTAGCCTCAGGAAACTTGACGCGCCAAGCGTCGCTGAGCCGAGAGAAGTAGCGGTACTCCGTGTGAAAGCCGTTGCATGGGCGACCAGCGCGGGGACCTGTGCGAATGGTATAGGTGCAGCAAACAGGACCCCCAGACGCCCCACGCTGAGCGTACCAGTCATGAAACTGCTGAGGCGTGGGGGTGTGACGCTGACGCTGCTGCTGCTGCGGCTGCTGCTGCTGCTGCTGCTATCCCTGGCCACCACTGGAGCTCCCCTTCTGGCCGGCTCCACTCTAGCTCCCACCACCGCTACCACCACCGCTCCCTCCTCCCCCACTCCCGCCGCTGCCACCTCCACTGCCCCCGGTACCCCCGCCGCCCCCACCACCACCTCCACCCCCACGACCACCCCCACCACCTCCACCACCCCCGCCGCCTCCACCACCGCCCCCTCCACCGCCACCTCCACCTCCCCTGCCACCCCTGCTGCCCCTGGCGCTGCGGCGCTTCCCACTAGGAGCGGAAGCAGCTCTGGCCTCCTCAGCACCAAGGTAGTCGAGAGCAGCTGCAGCAGAGGCGTAGGAGGGGGCAAGAGGGGAGGGGGAGCACCTCTCAAAGAGGGGAGTGCGAGGAGTGCCACGAGTAGCACCTATAGCGAGAATGTTATTTTCAGCTGCTAGGAGGTGCGTCTCGAAGTCGGCGCCAGTGAGAGTGGTCGGGTCTAGGGTGAGAAAGTGGTCCCTAACTGAGCGAAGAGTGTCAGGGAGGCGGGTGATAAGGAAGTAGAGAGTAAAGTACATTGGGGGTTGATTCTCGGCGAGGAACTCGTCTGAAAGGGCGGCACAAAAGTGAGCGCCACTAGCGCGGAGGTGAGAGATGAGGTCCTCAGCGGTGGTAAACGAGGACAGGTCGGGGAACAGGTAGGGTAGCATGAGACGGCCTACGGCTGTAGTGGCTGGGGAAGAGTAGCGGACAACTACAGCCTCATACAGTGCCTTAGCAGTCTTGTGCTGACTAAAGTGCGCGCGCTCAGTGATCGGTAGATGGTTGCGAACAGCGAGGCGCGCAGCAGCATTGCGAACAGCGAGGCGCGCAGCAGCATCGCGAGTCTGCCACTGTGACCGGTCAAGAGCGGTAGCAGTGTCAGCAGGAGCAATGGAAGAGCCAGTCACGTAATCGAACAGTGAAACTCCGTCTTTCGCATCAGTCAGAAGGAACAGTTGCAGGTCGTCGAGCCAAGTGGCGAACTCTATCGGGCGACCATCAGAATCGAAAGCTAGGACATTGAGAGTCGCCATGAGTGCAGCGCAGGTGAGAGTAGTGCGTAGGCGGCAAGGCAAAGCACAGACTGGAGAAGCTGCGCATAGGGCGGCAGCGGCGGCGCACAAGCTGCTGAGGCGACACACACATGGCTAGGGCGGCGCGCAGGGCAGTAGCGAGGCGCGCGCAGGCTGCTGAAGCCGCGCGCGGGAAGTTAAGGCAGCGCGCGAGGCAGGAGCGGGCCGCGCTAGGGCGGCGGACGCGGCGTGCTGGGCAGCAGCGGGTTGCGTGGGCGGCGAACGCGGCGCGCGGGGCAGCAGCGGGCTGCTCGGGCGGCAGACGCGGCGCGCGGGGCAGTAGCGGGCTGCGCGGGCGGCGGACGCGGCGCGCAGGGCAGCAGCGGGCTGCACGGGCGGCGGACGCGGCATGCGGGGCAGCAGCAAGCCGCGCGCGGGCTCCTTAGGCGGCGTGCGGGGCAGCAGCGAGCCGCGCGCGGGCTCCTAAGGTGGCGCGCGGGGCCGGACCAGGCGGCGCGCTCGGGACTAGGGCAGCGCGCGCAGGCAAGGCAGAGGCGCGCGCGGGCAGCGCAGAGCAGGCAAGGCAGGGCGCGCGCGGGCAGCACATCGTAGGCACGACGTGGGGCAGCTCAGTAACCGGTCCTAAAAAATCGGTCCTACGGACCTACTGTTATGAATACCATGTCAGAATGCTAGGTAGGAATGGATCAACTAGGAAAGTGTTGGGTACAAATATGAAACCCTAGAAGGGGTTGTAACCCATATTGGCTACCCCGCTATAGCCTAAACATATATAGCATATATATAATTTGACACTGGAGGCTTATCTGGTGGAGGCTGAGCCTCTCGCTGCTGAGCTGCAGAGGAAGTTTGCTTCGAGCACATCAATGGCTGAAGTGCCAGGTGGGTTTTGGATTTAGCAGGTGTGCGTGAGGGCTAACAGGGTATGTTAGTCACTGGGGCCAACAGGTGCAGGGGTAAAAGTGGTAACAGGGTTAACACGGCTAACAAGCACCAAGGGGCTACATTAACGGCGGCAGGGCAACAAGAAGGTGACGCGCGTGTCGGGGCTCGAGGCTTACCTGGTGGAGGCTGAACCTCTGGCTGCTGAGCTGCAGAGGAAGTTTGCTTCGAGTACGTCAGTCGCGGAACTACCAGGTGGGCTGGGCTCTGTAGATAGGAGGGCAGGCGGGTGGCAGGGCTGGAGGCTTATCTGGTGGAGGCTGAGCCGCTGGCTGCTGAGCTGCAGAGGAAGTTCGCCTCGATCACGTCAGTTGCTGAAGTGCCAGGTGGGTTCTTATTGGTGAGAGGGCTAACAGGTACAGGGGTAGCAGGCACCAAGGGGCTACTCTAATTGAGGCTGAACCGCTGGCTGCAGAGGAAGTTTGCCTCAAGCACATGGGTTGCTGAAGTGCCAGATGGGTTGTGTTGCAGCAGATGGGGGTAGCAGGGGTGTCGGGGCTGGTGGAGGCTTATCTGGTGGAGGCTGAGCCGCTGGCTGCTGAGCTGCAGAGGAAGTTCGCCTCGAGCACCTTAGTGGCTGAAGTGCCAGGTGGGATTTGCTGCTCCAGGTGGGAGGGCTGGCAGATACGGTGGTGGCTAGCAGGGGTAACAGGTGGCAGGGCTTTGTTGGTCTGCCAGGCGGTTCAGGTGTGTAAGGTGGGCTTTCGTTGCATTGCAACAGATGGGTGGGTTCGGCTGCAGCAGGTGTATGCTTCCCTGCTCTCCCGCTCTTCTCTCACCATTCATGCACCCATGTACTCGTCCATGCTCCCATGTACTCGTCCATGCACCCATGTACTCGTCCATGCACCCATGCACGCATCACCCATCCATGCACCCATGCACGCATCACCCATCCATGCACCCATGCACGCATCCATGCACTCGTTCATGCTTCCATACAGGCAAGAAGGGGCAGCACGAGGTGCTGATTCAGGGAGGCGTGTTGGATCAACTGGCTCAGCTGCTAGTAGACGTGCATGGTATTCCCAAGTCCCATATAGAGGTACTCGATAAGACAAGGAGATGATACATGATACACCTTGTACCGTATGTGGATAAGGCAAGGAGATAACCTATGTGGATATTTTAGGCGTTTTTCGTAATGTGGCATTGATACAACCCTATTGGGGAAGGACAGGAAGGAAAGAAGGGGTAACCAGTGGAAGGAGGTTACCGGTAGTTGTTAGCAGGTTGAGATTCAAGAGAATGATGAGGATGATAAAAAATGAGGGATGGAGAGCAGCAAGATGACTTTTGAATGGACACACAACATTATTTCCCTACTTGGACCTCATGATAAACACCCCCAGACTCCAATCAACCCTCACTATCCCCTCCCTAGGAAAAGCCCAATTCTACCCTTCTCCCATAGAAAAGCCCAGGCCACTCGAGCCTGCCAACGTATCCACGCGACGCACAGGCGAACAGTGCAACCTACCCAAGAGGAAGAAAGAAAAACAAACGCAGCAGCCGAACGCGCAAAGAAGCATAACAAGAGGTTATGCCCCCCTCGCATTCACAGCTTCAACCTCGAGTCTTCAAAAAGAAATTCCCGTGAATCCAGGAGGTTCCTGCAAGTCCTTCTTGTGAGGTTGTTCGTCGTGGCTCATCGCACCCTCGGGAACTCGCCGCGAGTTAATTACTACCACGGGAATCCGTCAGGCGTGCAATCACGGGGATCGTTTCAAAAAGCGTCATCTAGTCGTCGTGGTGGTCGTCGTCGTCGTGGTCGTGATGATCGTCGTCGTCGTGGTCATGGTCGTGGTGGTGCTCCTTCTTCTTCTCCTTCTTGGGCTTCTCCTCCTTCTTCGGCTTGGGCTTGCACGACTCGGCGCACTTCTCGTACTTCTCCTCGCACATCGGCGCCTTGTACCACTTGAGGCACTGGCGGCGGCGGTACAGGCACCAGTCCTTGCACCCCCACTTGCCATACTTGCAGTTCTTGAACGACTTGTACGCCTTGCGCTCGCACACCGTCGACTGCGCCTCGCAGACCTCCTTCTCGTCCGCATTCGCCGCCTTCGCCTCGCACTTCTCCTCCTTCTCCTCGCACTTGGCGTATTTGATCTTGTACTTCTCAATGCACGTCAGCTTCTTCTTGGGTTTCTTCTCCTTCTTCTCGTGGTGGTGATGGTGGTCGTCGTCGTCATCATCATCGTCGTCGTCGTCGTCGTCGTCGTGGTCGTGGTGATCGTCATCATCATCGTCGTCGTCGTGGTCGTCGCCCAAGAAGCGCCTGGTGGCGAGAGCTGACGCGGATCCTGAAATAAAACGCGTGGCGAGAGTCAGAATTTGCACATTTTGGAATAGAAACAAACGAGCAAACAACAAACGAACAAAAAATGAATAGCAAACGCTTTGACGTAAGTCACAGCAGCGGAATGACGGTACCCACCTGAAGTGGCGACGGCGCTGGACTCCGCATAAGCGGAGGGCGCAAGCAGGGCGACCAAAATCGCGGAAATCGCGATCAGAAGAGCGAGGAGCTTCATAGAAGCCATGGTGAAGGGGTGGGGAGTGAACTGAACCTCGAAACGACGCTTGGAAGTGAATGAATGGACTGGATTTCCAGCCCCAATTTATTCTCGATTTTTTTGCCCCCAGATGTTCCTCCCTCATCAAACCTCAGGCGAAGCGCCGACATTTTGGTCTGGTCTGGTCGACGAGGGACGCGTCTCGGCTGAATATCAGCGCCGATTTTATGGGCAGTCGAGAAGAATGGTCCATGAAATGTGAAAAGTGTACCCCTGCTTCAAAATTGCTGATCGATAAATCCATGCCTTTCCACCATATTATATCTAGCGCGAAGTCGATGTTATGCCTACATATTTTACTCGATGCTATGTCCGAAAGCTACTGACTGAAACGGGCTGGTTCAGAAAAATGAACCATTACTTGAAGGCGTCACGGGAGGGCGGCGTCGCTAGCGACTCGGATTGTTGACGCGGTATCACTGCTGCCCCCTAACTGTGAGAGAAAGCCGAAAGCCATCCGATGAACTCCAGTCGACGTCTGAGATTAATTCACTATCCACCATTTAGCTGCCCGAAAAGGTGAGTACGTGGCATGCATTTCGCCTCGTTTCTCATCCTCACCAAACGACCTCCGTATAGGATTATGGGAATATATGCTTGCCTAGTGAAGCTTCTAGAACTACGAGATGCTTAGCTAAAGGCGGGTGCCCTGAAGAACAAATCTGCCTTACTCTACATGATAGCAGAAGGCCTTTATTGAAAGCGTGAAGAAATTCATACTAGAATCCTGGAATCAATACAAACACATTGCATTGCAACCTAGTCCTTTTGCATTTGCACCTAGTCCTTCTTCATTTGCAGCCCAGTGATAAAAACATTCAAACCACAGTAAACATAGTAAACTGGTCAAACCAGGGAGTGCATCATCATCTTAGGTCGAGGTGGCAAAAATGAGGATGAACACTGGATTTCAGTGGCCAGCCCAAGCACAAAGGAGGACGCCTTTTTCCAACCTAGTACTAGCCACACTGAGTCCCTGCTATGGATACTGCAAGCAAGCAACTACAGGTAACACGTAAGTTGTTGCAGCTAGCTATATTAGTCACCATGTTTCCTGGATTGGTTGCCTTACCATACTGTTCTACCTTGCAAGAACAAATTCAGCATATTTGAATGTTGAGAGGGTGTGGTTGGAAGACAAGGACACGAGGAGCCGCAGAGTGCCATACAGAGCTGACAAACATGGACCAGGGCAAAAGGACCAACAGAAAGAACGAGCATCTTAGAAAATGGAGCCAAGCGCATGAAATTCGGACTTTGAAAAGGGGTGAAAGAATGAGGTGATCCGGTAGAAGGGTTGTTGGAAGACAGGGAGTGGAGGAAGGGGAACAACGAGTGGTGGGGGGAATGGGTGAAGCTGAAATGAAAGGGTTACTAAGAAATAAAGACTTGGAGAACCAGACAGTGGTGGGAGGGAAGCGGGGGAGCGGGGCGGGGGCTAAGGGAGATGGAGTGGGGGTAGGGAGATTGGTAAGTAAATCACATAAAGGGGGAGGGCAAGTGATTGATTAAGTATATGATTCGCACGCCTCTCAAGTACAGCACGTTGTTGCATCTCTTTTGAGACGTCTCCAACAATGTACCTGCGTTTTTTGTGCCTGTAAACCGTCAATATTCTTACTGGCTGTCAGCCTTCCTCCTCCTCCTGCGCTTCTGTGATCTCGTCGTCCTCTGGCACGCCTCTCATGTACAGCACGTTGTTGCATCTGCGTGACCGTGAGGTGGTTGGTTCACATGACAACATGCAGACGGAACGCAGACGGATTCAGCACAGCACGCGGAACTTTCTTGTGTAAAACACACTCAACCAAACCATTCCAGCACGCGGAACGAGGGGACGGAGGGGAAGGACGGAGGGAAAGGCAATCAGCACATCCACTCACAAGGTAACATTCGCACCGCAGACACAAATCAGTGGAAGGGCGGGATGAAAAGGGACGGGGGGGAAAGGAACAATCAGCTGGATTGTGAGATGTGCGGACTGCATGAGAAGACAAGGAAGCAGGCGAGGGGAAGATAGAGAACGACACTGAAGCGGGCTGGCGGCTCGCCTTCACTGGCGGTTCGCCTTGACGACAGCAAGGAAGGAAGTAAGTCAGTGCCAAGGAGCATGCGAGGTGCGGAGCATCATGCGAAGGAGCATGCAAGGCACGAAGCATCATGCGAAGCAGCATGCAAGGCACGGAGCATCATGCGAAGGGAAGGAGCATGCAAGGCACGGAGCATCATGCGAAGGGAAGGAGCATGCGAGGCACGGAAGAGCGCACCTGATGAGCACTTCACCAAGGCTTCCCATGAACTGACCGTCGATGTACTCTTCCGTGCTCGCTAGCTGCACACACCGTCAGCGCAACACACGGAACGATCACCGATGAGATTCATGAAAATTTGCGATGACCTGATGGGATCTGATAAAACCGTACTGTTTTTGTTACGAAAGGCAAAGCTTCATATAGTTATGGTTTACCTGGAGGTTCATATAGGCGTCGACAGACATGAGATAGCCTGCGAGGGTCAAACAACGCGATTAGGTCAACGGATAGAAACAGGTAGAGCGAAGGACGCAAGAAACGTTTTGTTTATTTGCTTCTTCACTCACCTTTGTACTCCATGCCCCATTTCAATTTTACGATGACTTGCTTCCCCGTGAGATCGTTTAGGAACGGCTTAGGGTTTACTGGAACGGTCTGCGGAAACGCGAACGAAAGAGAGGAGAATAAGCATCAGGAAGCAGACTTTGAGCGTTTCCCATTTCTAAACAAGACAACGAAAAGCGAACTTACCGCCATGTTCTCACTGTGATGACCTGGCGTAGGTACTGTAATCGACGGCAACTAGTACAACGAAAGTCGGATCAGGACGCAAGAGCTACGAATCTCGGCAACTGATCAGCGAAGAGCAGATTATCCTCGTTACTGCGTGTTCCGGCATTGCACACCTACGATATTTTCTAGTTTGTTGCGGTGTGTGCACAGAAGGGGTTTGTGCGGTCTGGAGCGGTGCTTCCTCACTACCGAGAAAAACGACTTCGCAATTTAGTGTATTCGAGATTCCTGCTTCTGCAGCTACCGTAGCAGACCGAACCGAATGTCACTTGCGTTCGTCTCCGACGTGGCAGCTTGTGAGTAGACATCTGTGCTTCAACGACGCCCCTTCCCCTGACTCTGCAAGTTCCAGAACCACCTTGAGACACAAGCGGACAGAACGAGAAATATCTCCTTTCTACTATGTGGCCGAACGAGTTCATCGTCGAGTTGTCCAGGATTCAGGAGTTGCAACATCCATGCTTATTACAGTATGCTCTAATCACCTATCCTGCATTAATAGTTTGAGGCTCCGAACGTTTTCTCGAAGTTCTTGGTCACGAGGTCTTTTCCTGCGATTAATCGGTCTGCGAGACGAATAAATTTCGCCAACGCCAGCTTTATCTTCTGATTAGCAGTCACTGACCCCCACCGTCCGAAGTGCAGCTTCGCTCTAGATTCCTTGATCAGCCCTCCTGATTTTATTGTGTTTTCCGAGGGTTCGGATCGATCTCCAACATCTGAGCTTCTCGTTCTTCTCTCATCAAGACCACCATGGGGTACGGGAATTGTGGCTGCTGCCTCGTGACTCTTAACACAGATCGATAGATTTAAATTGGTTTAGCTGTTTTTTTTTGTGCTTATCGATATGATTATTTGGGTTTATCATACAGTACTTTTCGGTAATCCGCACTGACGATAACATGCGTCTGGTCTGTGCAGTCGCCATCCAGAGGTGGTCTGGGCTCAACGGTCAGACAACGTTATCATCACAGTCGAGCTCCCTGATGCTAAAGACATTAAGACGAATCTAGATCCAGAGGGGAAGCTATCATACTCAGCTAAAGCAGGAGCCGACGATCAAGACTTCGCCGTCGATCTTGAGCTGTTTGATAAAATTAATGTCGAGGTGCGTGGTTCGGCCAACATAGATCAGATTCCTTCAGTTGTGAACGCTCAATTGCATTCACAGGCTTCACATCTTACTCTTGGAAGGTACTCCGTTCGGCCATTGGTCCAGTCTTGACGATTGGAAACGTTATATCTTCATTGACGCAACTTCTCGTTTTCTATGCTGACGATCTGTTTTCAGGAGAGCAAAGTGGTGAGCACCTTGCGGCACACAATATTCATGGTGGTGAAGGCGGAGGCCAAGTGGTGGCCTCGGCTGATCAAGGCGGCGGGACGAGCTCCGCCGTTCCTCAAGGTTGACTGGAACAAGTGGGTCGATGAAGACGAGGAGTCAAGTGCTAACCAATGTGAGTACAAGTGGGATAATGTTCAATCGTGAACAGGTTTAACAAGGGAGAGGACAAGATGAAAGTTCAAACGGAAGCGAATTTCATTGTGTGTTTGTCACAATTGCAAAACATCAACGTTTACGTGGCCATCGTTGCTGAAGCGTATGGCGTGGATGGCTCCACGCTACTGTTGTCCTTCACATGCTCTGTCGCTGAATGGCACGTTTTTTAACGGTTTTTTAGTATGAAGGTGTCATATGGCTCCCCATCAAGCAGGAATATAGCCATGTTTTTCCCGATCAAACAGGATATGCTAAATCGCTCCCCTCTTAACATGCATGTCTTTCCTCCCATCTAAACCTTTCAATTTCCTCCCTCTCTTTGTCACTCTTGTTTTTTTTGGCAGTGGACCCTGACTTCATGAAACAATTCCAGGTGAGGTCATATGAAAAGCAAGACACATGATCGATCGTACTGCCACAGGTGTTGACAACTTTTGTTTTTTCCATAAATGCTGGGTCCATGATCGATGCAAGTGTGGATCTGCCATGGTTCGTACATGCGTCACAGTCTTCCTTGTGCAAATATATTGATGCATCGCGTTTTTCTTTGAGCTGCAGGGTGCTGGTGGCTTCGGTGGTGCGGGTGGCTTTGGTGGTGGTTTTGGAGGTGGTGATTTTGGAGGTGCTGACTTTGGTGGTGCTGATTTCGGAGGTGCTGGGCTTGGTGGTGATGAGGATGAGGACGAGGAGGATGAAGGTAAGTGACTTTTTTCCCCTTTCCTTTCTTCTTGCTTCTTATTTGACCTACATTTTGAACTCCTGCTCTTGCTCCTTCTCCCGCCCCCGTTCTGAGCCTCTTTGGTCTTGTCTCCCCTCACGCCCCTTTTTTTTTTTCCCTCACATGAACTTGTTTCCCTCCCCTCCTGGCCTCATCAATCGATTCCTCCCCATCGCATTCCCACCACATGCTCCAACACTGCTCCTTTTTTTCCCTTGTACTTGCAGAGTTGGGAGACCTTGAGAAGTGATCTCACAACAAACAAGTTCAGTCATCATGGACTGAACACCCACCTTCATACCATATGAGGCTTTATGACACAGAGCCTGGAGCGGTTGGGTTTCTAGCCTGGAAATGTATTAGGTTGCTAGATTGGGCAACGGAGGTGTATGATTATGGCACAAACCAGCCCACATTGTGACCTGCAATTGTGACTCTGGTCGGATGCTGTCTTGCTCCAATTTCACTACTATGAAGCATAAGAGAGGGCACCAGTCCTGACTCCTTGTAACCTGGGATTGTAGATGACTCTGGAACAAAGATTCCTGAAGGAGAAGCGACAAGTGGCCTAGATTTGCCAGTAAGATTTAAGGAGGTCGCGAAACAATGGTGATGTAGATCAGATTGTAGACCGCTAGCTTAGCTCAATTCTCCACGTGGGATAGCTCAGTTGGGAGGGCGTCAGACTGCAGATCTAAAATTCGCGTATTCGATCCGCGCTTACCGCACATTTTATGTGTTGACGGATGCAGGGAGGGAGCTAAGGGATGAATGTATTTTGGTTTGGCACGCTCTGCAGATATTGTCGAGAGATCAAGGTGAACGAACGAGTAGATCAAAGTAGGGCCTAGGCTTAGTAGCCTAGGCCCAAGTAGGATGTCGAGCGGGTTTTACCTAGGGTGAGTATCGAGTGAGTTGGAAGAGAAATTGGAGAATGATGGTTTCACTATAGGGTTCGAAGTACATATAGCATAGGAACCAAATAAGGTGCACCACCAACAACAGTTTAAATAACTACACTAACTACAACTACAAGCAGTTATAAAACATGACAAATATATTTCGACACGCCCCCATAATGCTTGTAGGTAGAAATGTAGTTACGCCATGCAAAAGAATAACAAGCAACAGCAGGTACTGCAGGCGGGCTAACATTGAATAGTTACCCCCTCTATCTCCTCACCCTCCTCCTTCCCCTCCCCCACACTGCTGCAGGAGCAGCAGAGAAGGGGGGAAGAGAGGAGAGGTGGAGGGACGGCTGCATGTTGCCTCACACCCGCCACCCCGGTACCACTCCCCCTGCTCCCCCACATCCTCACACCCTCCCCCCCCAGCGGCAGCTGCAGCGGTGGGACTGAAAGAAGGAGGGGAAGGGAGAGAGTTGACCCAACACTCCAACACCCGCCACCCCCATACCCTCCTCCCCACGGCTGCAGGGAGACAAAGGAGGAGGGGGGTGGGCGGGAAGAAAGCCGCAGAGCGGCGAAACGGTGTCGGTGCAGATGGGTCAGGGGCGGCTTCAGGGAGAGCAGGGGCGGAAAGGCCCGTCGCGTGCCAGTGCCACGGGGCGCACGACGGGTAGGATAAGAGAAAGGGCCCGATCGTGTGCCTAGGGGCACACGACGAGCAGGGCACCATCGTGTGCCACGGGGCGCACGATGGGCAGTTGAAGGGCACCGTCGCGTGCCACGGGGCGCGCGACGGGCAGAGAAGGAGTCACACGCCCGTGGGCGGGACAAGGTAAAAATCGTCACGCGCCCTAGGCGCGCGACCGGAAAATCTTAGCAGCGGAAGTGTAGGGCGGGCCCACAGGCCAGGACGTAATTCACTCCGATAACATGTCGAGAGATCAAGGTGAACGAACGAGTAGATTAAAGTAGGGCCTAGGCTTAGTAGCCTAGGCCCAAGTAGGATGTCGAGCGGGTTTTACCTAGGGTGAGTATCGAGTGAGTTGGAAGAGAAATTGGAGAATGATGGTTTCACTATAGGGTTCGAAGTACATATAGCATAGGAACCAAATAAGGTGCACCACCAACAACAGTTTAAATAACTACACTAACTACAACTACAAGCAGTTATAAAACATGACAAATATATTTCGACAGATATGATGATAGGGGTCTCTCCATTTTATTACATCCAGGCTACGATAAGAGATGCACTTGCCCTAGAGCTCAGAGTGCTTCAAATCTTGGAACAAGAACTGAATGGGGATGGGGAGGGGGGGGGCTGTTGGGCTGAAACGCCCTAGGATCTTTGTAGAGTTAAAGTCTTGAGTAATGATATAATAGCGGAAGCGTTGAATGAAGTCCTTGAACCACCTTGCGCTAGTATGTGAGGGCAAAGTAAGTTGATTAAGGCAAAAGGATACAGGAATATAAATATATGAGTACAGAGAATATGAAGAGACATTATAACTACTTTACTGTTGTGGTTCGATACAGTGCGACTCGGGCAACTGCTCAACGTCGAGTCAGTTATGTGTCCTTGCTGTCGCGCTGCGTCAGGTCTGTTGGGAACAAATAAGTTAAGCGCCTCTGTCGTGTCAGAACTCAAGACACAAAGCGAAGCAGCTCAAGTCGAAGCATCGCGAGTCAATCAAGGTGGTTAACGTAACCGTCGGAGGTTACGGGAAAGTCAAAGGTCGCTGACCTTTGACTTGACGCAGCGCGACAGCAAGGACAAACAACTGACTCGACATTGAGCAGTTGCCCGAGTCGCACTGTATCGAATCGCAACAGTAAA